ATTAACATATACACTCACTGTCCACTTTATTAGGTACACCTTGTTAGTACTGGGTTGGACCCCTTTTGTCTTTAGAACTGCTTTAATTTTCCATGGCATAGATTCAACAAGGTGTTGGAAATATTCCTTAGAGAGTTTGGTCCATACTGACATGATAGCATCACACAGTCCAATTTTTGGTGAGCCCTTGCAAATTGTAGCCTCAGTTTCCTGTTCTTAGCTGAGAGGAGTGGCACTCGGTGTGGTCTTCTGTGGCTGTAGCCCATCTGCTTCAAGGTTCAACGTGTTGTGCTTTCAGAGATGGTATTCTGCATACCTCGGATGTAACGAGTGGTTATTTGAGTTACTGTTGCCTTTCTATCATCTTGAACCATCCTGGCCATTCTCCTCTGACCTCTTGACATCAACAAGGTATTCTTGCCCTGATGGCTGCCGCTCACTGGATATTTTCTCATTTTCGGACCATTCTCTGTAAACTCTAGAGATGGTTTTGCGTGTGAATCCAAGTAGAACAGCAGTTTCTGAAATACTCAGACCAGGCCGTCTTGCACCAACAACCATGCCACGTTCAAAGTCACTTAAATCACCTTTCTTCCCCATTCTGATGCTCGGTTTGAACTTTAGCAGACCATCTTGACCATGTCTACATGCCTAAATGTATTGAGTTACTGCCATGTGATTGGCTGATTTAGATATTTGTGTTTAATGAGCAGTTAAAGAGGTGTACCTAATAAAGCGGCCAGTGAGTGTATGTTTACCGTATGGGGGGGAAAAAAACTAGGTCCTAAAGAAGTACCTATAAATTTCCCAATCCGCGAAAAGTTTAAAGTAAACTTCCTTCCAGGCCCTCTGGTCCTCCACATCTAGGCTGCTCTGGCCTGCTTCCCCATGTTTGCAAGAAGCTTGGGTGAAGGGTTGCTAGGAGAAAGGAACTTATTGTTATGTGCTAAAATGCATGAGAACATTTCTTACATGCACTGCTATTAAACTTGTTGGGGCCCAGGATGCAGGTGTAAACAGACCCCATAGAAAACAGTGGGAATTTCCTAGTGTGGGGCTGCTCAGAAGCAAGTGGACTCTATCTTGGTGAGATCACCTAAACGCACTACGCAGCCTTTTACTTTACCATTTTGCTGAAGAAAGCTGTTCTGTTACCGCTGGATGAAATAAAAGCTGCTTATTTATATTGGACTGTGTTGAAGATGCATGTGTACCCCTGGGGTTCCCCACAACATATAATCACCATATGTCTGTCCTATCCAATCAGTTTTGTAGTTTGCAATTGTTGGTTACCTTTCCTTGTGTCTGCTATTTTTCTATTTGTCCAAAAAAAAAAAAATTAAACCATTGCAACAGTACTCAGAATATCCGAGCATCCCATCCTCCACTTCTGGAATTGTCTTACTGACACTTTCAGAATCAGCACAGAACCAAACAAATGGGCATTGTTTTCCACGGAATGTGCTAACCTTGGCAATCTTCTTGGGTTTATAACACTGGGAGTTTCCCGCATGTCTAAAATGTACATATTATTACATTTATTACAACCCTGACTGATCATTTTATTATGGTAAAGGCATTTCTATTTTTGCAAGGTTTGCTAAAGTCCCTCCTATATATGTATAGCTGACCTGGAGGATACTTTTTTTGTTGAGGGAAAAAAAAACAAAAAACTTTTGTTGTTTTGTGTGTTGTGGGGTTTTTTAATAAGTTTTTTTTTCTTTTTAAATCTAGTTTCCTATGTGGCTGAAGCAGATTTTTTTATTGTATAGTAATTAATAATTTATTGGGCTGTGTTCTCAGTCATACTTTATGAGCTACAGGCAGTTATCTGTATGTAGGACAAGTAGGGATAAGGCATGGATAAGGAGGGGTTTGGGAGGACCGGTACTTCATCTTTGAATGGAGACAGAGGAGTGAAACTCTGCAGCAGGGCCGTGCTGAAAGCCAGCTTAAAGCCCATCTCAGGCCAAACCAAAAATCTACCCTTGCGGTGGGGCTACCCCCACATTGCAAGGGTTAAGTGCTTATTTTTGTCTAAGGGCTGGAGCAAAGCAGATTTCATTACTTGAACCCCACTCCCTTGGTGGTCAGCACTCTTTTTCTCCGCTTTGCTCTGGCTGGTGGCATATCCCTTGGCATCCTCACATCTATTGAAGGTCTGGAACCTGCATTAGAAGTGATGACGTCGCCGGCCCTTAGAACATGAGAGCAAAGGGGAGAAGAGGCCATGGGGAACAGTCTAGTAGCCCTGAGGGAGCGGGGATTAGGTAAGTAAATCTGCTTTATTCCAGTGCTCC